GTGCATAAAGAAGCCAAAGAAAGATGGAAAAATCTCCAAAAGGCATCAAATTACAGATTAGACATTCTTATAATATGTCAACAAAAGTTAGATTTTATTTCCATCATTTACACTTTCAAAATAACAGAAAACAAACAAATGGTGTCTGCAAAAGTTTGGGCACCCTGCAGAGTTAATATCTTGTACTGCCCCCTTTGGCAAGTATCACAGCTTGTAAACGCTTTTTGTAGCCAGCCAAGAGTCTTTCAATTCTTGTTTGAGGTATCTTTGCCCATTCTTCCTTACAAAAGTCTTCCAGTTCTTTGAGATTTCTGGGCTGTCTGTCACGCACTGCTCTTTTAAGGTCTATCCATAGATTTTCAATTATGTTGAGGTCAGGAGATTGTGAAGGCCATGGCAAAACCTTCATTTTACTACTCTTGATGTAATCCCCCGTGGATTTCGAGGTGTGTTTAGGATCATTATCCATTTGTAGAAGCCATCCTCTCTTTAACTTCAGCTTTTTCACAGATGGCATCAAGTTACCATCCAAAATTTGCTGAAATTTTATTGAATCCGTTTTTTCCTTCTACTCGTGAGATGTTCCCTGTGCCACTGGCTGCAACACAACCCCAAAGCATGATTGATCCAACCCCATGCTTAACAGTTGGACAGAGGTTCTTTTCATTAAATTCTGTGCCCCTTCTTCTCCAAACGTACCTTTGCTCATTCCGGCCAAAAAGTTCAATTTTAACCTCATCGGTCCACAGAACTTGTTTCCAAAATGCATCAGGCTTGTCTATATGTTCATTTGCAAAGTTCACACGATGATTTTTTGTGGTGAGGACGTAGAAAAGGTTTTCTTCTGATGACTCTTCCATGAAGACCATATTTGTACATGTATCTCTTTATAGTGGAATAGTGTACCACAACTCCAGTGTCTGCCAGATCTTTCTGGAGGGATCGTGCAGTCAAACGTGGGTTTTGAATTGTTTTTCTCACAATCCTGCGAGCTGTTCTGTCTGATATTTTTCTTGGTCTTCCAGATCTTGCTTTAACTTCCACTGTTCCTGATGACTGCCATTTATTAATTACATTCCGAACAGAGGATATTGACATCTGAAAACGCTTTGCTATCTTCTTATAGCCTTCTCCAGCTTTGTGAGCGTCAACTATTTTCAGTTTCAGTTTTCTAGACAACTGCTTAGAAGAACCCATGGTGCTGATTGTTGGGGCAAGGTCAGATGAGTCTGGGCATTTAAAACCTTTGAGATTGACATAACCTGGTCTTCCCAGACGATGATTGAGAACAATCCATAACACTGGCAGGTCTCAGCTTTGCAAAGGGGGCAGTGCATGCTATAAATTCTGCAGGGTGCCCAAACTTTTGCAGATGCCATTTTTTTGTTTTCTGTTATTTTGAAAGTGTAAATGATGGAAATAAAATCTAACTTTTGTTGACATATTATAAGAATGTCTAATCTGTAATTTGATGCCTTTTGGAGATTTTTCCATCTTTCCTTGGCTTCTTTATGCACATTAATACAAATTTTTAGCTGGGGTGCCCAAACTTTCGGTCCCCACTGTATATATGTAAATTGATGGCGCTATATAAGTACCTATAATAAATAATGTATGTGCAGTTGTAACAGAACACATAATAGCTGGCTCAGAATTCATCCATATCTCTGATGTCTTCCAGGGACATGGGAAATTTTCTCGTCTGTCAGATTGTTTTCTGTACATCAGCTGGGAAGGAGAGAGGGGGGTGTGATTGTCAGCAGACCAATGGTAATGTGAGCCTTGGGCTTTCGGGGGGGGGGGGGGGGTCATTGACTACATCGTTTAGAATGAACTCCATAATCACAGAAGACACATACTGTACATCATACTTACTGAGCTTTTCTATTTCACAGCCAACTATTTAGTATGATTTGTGTATATGAAACAATACCACGTTGCATTCTGCTCTGTTTATTATTATTATTATTGTTCAGGATTTCTATAGTGCCAACAGTTTGCACAGTGCTCTACAATATAAAGGGAGACAGTACAATTACAATGCAGCTCCATACAGAAGGACTAGGAGGACCTTGCTCAAGGAGCTTACAATCTAAACTTTATTTACGGTTGGTGGTGGCTGACAGTGTATCGATATGATCATTTATTCGATCATTTGATGCAAATAAAATGATCAAATTGAATAGAAATCATAAATCACACATCCTCCATCCAATCACTCTAGTAAGCTTTTGATCAATTTCAATGCTGGAAATTTGATCGGCCGTGGCAGAATTTTATTGGTTATTTCTCCTTGATCGATCGAATAGATATTTTTATTCAATACTGTATAGGTTGCATGATCTGATATTTTACTCAATGATGAATCACTTAGTTTGTGATCACTTGTACCTATGTTGATCATAAATTGATACATTAAAGATAAGACGGTGCAACGCTAAAAACAATGAATGTATCAGTATATCAGTAAGGATGAGTATTCCTATAGGCTCATGGAAAGTCCAGTAATAAAATCAAAATGCAACAAATATATATAAATATATATAATAATAAGGTGATATAATAAATCAAAGCCCCCCTAAAGGTATATGTGCAGGGCGACGGTAATGTGCATAGATCAAAACGTATTGACCTAAGGAGGAGCCTTTTGCACGCCGTGACGTCACGCCGCCGGATCACGGAGGTCCGGCAGCAATCCTTATCACCCAGCTGGTCAGTGTATTCAGCAGCTTTCATGCTGCTTATTGTACAGTTCACAGTTACCCTATGCCTTAGATACCCTATGTATGTTCACTACTACTTATGTTTCAATTTTAATACTCATTTCATAAATACTTTAACATACTACACTATGGGCATCTATATTTCTTGCTCTGCACCGAGCAATTAAACCCCATCCCAGGACCCCAGGTGATCTATTTGGACCAGAGGAGGGAAGCTTATGACCATACTCTAATACAGACAACCCGTTAGAGGGACCCTCTGATTGACATCTCTAATACCCGTACCAGGCTGTACCCTTAGGAGACCTCCGGTCGATACATTTGATCTATGCGCATTAAGATTGCGCTTCCGGTGAGTGTGCAATCTTACCATTTTTCACCGGATGATATTATATCTAACACTGGGATAGCAGAGCAGTCACATTAACTGTTACTCATCTGGACTTTTACCATCACCCTGCACATATATCTTTAGGGGGGCTTTGATTTATTATGTCACATTATTATATATATTTTATATATATTTGTTGCATTTTGATTTTATTACTGGGCTTTTCCATGAGCCTATAGGAATACTCATCCTTACTGATATACTGATACATTTATTGTTTTTAGCGCTGCACTGTCAGATCTTTATTGCTTGTTGAAAAGGTTTGTGGTTCCTTTTTGGTGCAATTAGCTGCTATTGTATGCGCTTGCTAGGTTCCCACTCTTCTTATAAATTGATACATGTATGACCACCTTTAAAACCCCCCCATGCCTTGCATTAAAAAGTCTGCCACAAACCTGGACATTGGAGAGTGGAGATGAGCAGCAGGTACCAGGGGAGGGAGGAAGAAGGTAAGTGTATATGTGTATTCATTGCCCCCTAGACCAGAGCTTCGCAACCAGCGGGCTGCAGCCCATTGCCAGGCCCTGCCCCCCCCCCCCCCCTTCTGCTGGGCCCATCAGCAGTATTCTGCCCTGTAGTCCTGGAATGAGAGGAAATGTGCAAGGCCCCCTCTAGCCAGGGCTGTGCTAGTATGGAAGCTGGAGTCTGGTGTGTGTCACTTTACTGGGATTGCCAGGAGATGTCTAGATCAGCACAGAGCATCCCCACTGATACCTGTCTGTGCAAGCCTGAGACACTGGAGCCCCAGGGGGGACGAAACATTGATCAGCACAGAACTGTCCTGCAAATACACATACTGTACCTGTAATTGTGTGCTCATTTTCTTCCCTCCAGCTTTACTAGACTAGGCCCATCACTTTGTATGATATTGGGCTCATTCACACAGGTGCAGAGCCCTGTACAGCACGAAGAGCAATTTGTTGTGGCCTAGTATACACAATCAGAAAATCTTACAAAAAATATCGCTTACTAAGTGATCGTACAATAATCTGATTGTTTGTACACAGCTTTTACCCAAAATAATTCGAAGGGACAAAAACAAAAATTGTTCTCGTATGATACCAGATCATATGATTTTTTCTTTAAATCGGTACAATTATTATTGTACTAATGACTATTATCATTACAATTCATCAAAAAATACAATACAAATATATGACATCACTTTCGAATTTTTATTCTGTTGTACAAGAATTTTTGTAACTTTGGTAAGCTCTTCACTTTCTATATGAGACTAGCATGCAAAGAAAAAAAAAACCATGGACGATCATTCATTGATATTCTCATTGTGTGAACGAGGCTTTAATCTTTTTGTTCTAGCATGGAGCTGTGTGCAGGCACCCTTTATAAATGAATGGGGACTCAGCAGCTGTACAGACTCATCCACACAGCCCAGTCTGACAGGTACACAGGGACGGTTAGCCTGTGCATCCAAGGCTATGTACCTGTCAGACTGGGCTGTGTTGGTGAGTCTGTAACACCGCCGAGTCCCCATTCATAGGGTGCCCACATACAGCTCCACAATAGTTTAAAAATCTAAACTCTTAGATTGTAAGCTCCAAGGAGCAGGGCCTACTTAACCCTCTTGTATTGAAGCGGTATCGTCTCCCGTTATATTGTAAACCGAAAGCAAACTGTTGGCGCTATATAAATTCTGTATAATATAATAATAATATAAACAAACGGCTTCATTCTGTATGGGACACTGCATCCTTGTGAACAAGCCCAATAAATTATAGATTTAACCACCTGCCCTATAGTACAATGACGGGCGCAAGGTGGTTCTCTCGTTCTGATAGGATGTCATATGACCTCCTACCATTCTCACTGTGCATGCGCGGCTCAGGGAGCGCGCAGCGCGGTGATCACCGGTGCGCTGTGTCCCTTGGACACAGCGGATCACGGAAAGAGCTGAAGATGTCGGCTCGGTTATCGGCATTTCTCTCCTCTCGAGCTGTCACGCTGACAGCTCGAGAGGAGAGGAGAGGAGAGCCGGTAATCGGCTTTCCGTGGAGGGGACATGTACACTGATCATCAGGGCACTGATGATTAGTGTGCCCTGATGATCAGTGTGGCCCCAGAAGTGCCACCTGTCAGTGCTCATCAGTGCCACGTGCCAGTGCCCATCAGTGCCACATCAATGCCACATATCAGTGCATACCAGTGCACATCAATGCCACATATCAGTGCCCATCTGAGCTGCCTTTCAATGTCACCCATCAGTGCCAGTCAGTGCCACCTATCAATGCCAATCAGTGCCACCTATCATTGCTGCAAATCACTGCCACCTATCAGTGCCAGTCAGTGCCGCCTATCAGTGCCAGTCAGTGCCGCCTATCAGTGCCAGTCAGTGCCAGTCAGTGCCGCCTAACAGTGCCAGTCAGTGCTGCCTATCAGTGCCGCCCATCAGTGCCCTATATCAGTGCCATATATCAGTGTCATATATCAGTGCTGCCTTTCAGTGCCCATCAGTGATGCCTGTCAATGCCCATCAGTGCAACCTACCAGTGCCTCCTCATCAGTGCCCATCAGTGCCACCTATCAGTGTCCATCAATGCAGCCTTTCAGTGCCCATTACTGCAGCCTCATTAGCGCACATCAGTGAAGGAGAAAAATCACTTATTTACAGAACTGTATAACAAAAACTAAGAAAAAACTTTTTTTTTTCAAAATTTTCAGTGGTTTTTGGTTTGTTTAAGAAAAAATAAAAATCCCAGAGGTGATTAAATACCACCAAAAGAAAGCTCTATCTGTCTCAAAAAAATGATAAAAATTTCATATGGGTACAGTGTTGCATGACCGTGCATTTGTCATTCAAAATGTGACAGCGCTGAAAGCTGGAAATTGGCTTGGGCAGGAAGGGGGTATAAGTGCCCTGTAGGCTAGCGGTTAAAGTGTATCTATAGTGTAGACTTGTTTTGTTTTGGATATAGTGGGGGGGGGGGGGGGTAGAATCACAATCTACCCTTCCATCACATGAGGAATATTATCAAGTGGCACAAAAGGGTGCACTTGTAAAAAAAAAAAAAAAAAAAAAAAGAAAAAACAAATTGCATAAAACAATTCACCTAGCTAAAGTGCATTCGTTCTGTGTGAATGGATAAAAAAAAACACATGTTATTAGTCTATTTCCAGTGCTATTTGAATGTGTTTCATTGATTTAAAATTGAAAATACTGCAAATGAGGCTGAGGGGTCGATTTACCAAAAATGAAGAGTGGAAAATCTGGTGCGGGGACAAGGTCATCTAGTGCTTAGGGAGAAGATATCAAATGGCGCCCCCCCAAAAAAAGTGAGCATTATATGTCAGCAAAAATTTCCTCCTTCCCCCCCCAAACAAAATTCAAGCACTATGGGGAGGCTATAGAGTACTGTGATCCTGTAGTAATCTATAGCCTCCCCATAGTCCCCCGTCAGGGCTCCACAATAGAGGTGCCACTGGCTGTCAGATTGCCACAGTGCAGTGTTTGCTTACCCACACCGTACCAACATTCTTTGCTGGGAGGACATGGGGAAGGGTCAGTGGTGTATTTAGGTTTTGTGCTGCCCTAGGCAACACAAGAATTGGCACCCCCTGCAGAATGAGCCTGACATTGACCAAGAACACCACTGCCCTCCACTACCACTGCCCCCCATACACCAGCCACCATCCCCCATGGCAAGAGAGAAAAAGACACGTACCTTCACAGCTCCGGACATCCCCAGGAATGAGAGTCGGGCTGTGCATACACCATCATGAAACCCACAGCATCTCTCGGAACCCACCAGGTCCCCATATGTGTGTCCCTTCTTCCAAGGGGCAGTGCTGCCCCCCCTGAAAAATGCTGCCCTAGGCAAATGCCTTGTTTGCCTTGTGGTAAATAGACCCCTGGGAAGGGTACACAAACACTGCACAGTGGCGAATCGGCAGTCCCAATCAAGGAGAGCTGCAGTGGCAGGAGGAGGAGTTGGAGGGGAAAGAAAACACAACCTGTCCCACCTCCCAGCTCTCTCCTCCTCTTCAGATCTGCCTTGTCTCCTCCAGAGCTAAGCTGACAGGAGTAGTGAAGCTGCTGTCACTACTCCTGTCAGCGTGTAGATAGTAACTGTCCATGCGGTTCCCCCCACCTCATATGATACCAGTGCGCCCAGGGCAGCCACCCTCCTGCCCACCACTTGTCCTGGCCCTGCAGCTGTGCATACAAACCAATCAGCTTTCAGGTTTATTTTGTCAAAGCTTAATTGAACAAGTTGAAGTTAGAATCTGATTGGCTACCATGCACAGCTGCGCCAGATTTTCAACTCTCCAGCTTTAGTAAATCAACCAAGTATCATAGGAAATTTCAATGGTACGTCATGCCATCAAGCGGCCAAAGCCTATTCACACACAACAAATGTATATGCACTTTCATCAGCCAAATTGGTATGAAAATATTTCCAGATTTCTGAAGCCCAGGACCATAGCACTGACCATGAAGACATTATATTGAGGCCTATGCCGCAGTGAGTAAACCTTGAAATAAATCTATGGCGGGATCCTGGTTCAGATTAATAAAGAAGTCCTTCCCTTTTATAACACGATGTACTGTATGTGAAGTGCAAAAAGGTCAATAAGAAGATATCGGAGGGCCTGCTAACAAAATATTCTCTGTCCCGACCCTCCCACAGGACAGCCAAGGTAATTTCACATTTTCACATAAAGATTAGATGCATCAAGGACATAACATGAAAACCTTCTCATAAATAAATGAGATCATCATAAAACAACTCATACCCATTCTGTGCATTTCCCATAACATCATTTGGTTTAGATTTCTGTAGAGTTCAATAACTGGATTTGTTTTCAGAATGCGTAGACCTGCATTATGTTTAGGATCTGTATAAGAAGCCCAAGTCTCACAAATCCCAAAGACCTAAATTTATGTGGTGACAACAAGGATAGCTTTGTGGAGCACTGGCAGCGAGGAGTATAGAGCTGTGGGAAGTCTGGATTTTTCAGGACACAGGAGGAATTCCCTGGATACAGAGGTACAGCCAGCTCCTCCAGAGATCTAACCCATGCTTTCTCAACCAGTAATAAGGTTCCCCCTAGGGGTCCTTCTGCCAAAAATCTATCCTATGAAAACATATTCCAGGACCTAATTTTTTCCATCAAGGGTCTTGGATACTAGAAATATCTGTATGGACTTTTGGGGGCACTGTATTTGAACTGGTATGTACCATGGGATGATTGACAATTGCCAAAGTAGTACAAATGTAATAATGTGAAAGTGGTTGTAAACCTCAGACATGAAATATAAACAAAACATATCTCTCCATATTGTGTACTCAATCCAGAGCACTAAATGTAATTTCTGTCTGCTGCCTCATTCCTCTGCTATCTGTATGAGTCACTTTTGACAGGTTTTCTTGACTCCAAGAAGAAATATGTGACAGGGGAGGGGCCTCCAGCATACAGCCTGTGATTGGCAGCTTCACCTCTATTCTTGTGTGCTGTGTGAAGGAATTTGTTATCTCAAAGCTTGCAAGAGTGTAACTTCAGCTCCTCCCCCCCTGCTTTCTGAAAGCTCAGACAAGCTGTATAGATTCTGGGCTTTGAACAGATGTAGAGGAGAGATGATCGCAGATAAACAGGTACAACTTACATAGGAGGATTAATTTTGTCTCTGTCTATCATCTGATGCCAATCACTCCACTTGGCATTTGTAATGGTTTAAAGCAGAACTAAACCCATCGATTTACCGGTTTAAAAAAAAACTGTTACATTCCTGGCATGCAAACAATGCTAACTGTCACATTTCCTTGTGTTATCAATCAAACTGTCATACCATCCAATGGTTGGTGTCATAACTAATCACATGTACAGCACCATGGCATTCGAAGGTCACACAATGACTAAGATGGCAGCTTCCTTGGCTGAAAGGGATAGGAGGGTTTAGTTCCACTTTACCCCGGTTCACATATATGCGGCCATGCGGGCCGCGTTTTGCGTGGACACGAGAGCCCATTCATTTGAATGGACTCCCGTGCCCCGTGACATTCAGAGAAGTCCCTGCACTTCTTCTGAAAACACAGCCCGCACTGGAACCTCGGTTTCCAGTACGGTTGCATTTTTCCAGTGTGGGCAGCGTGCCATTAAAACTAATGGCACCCGCCCGCGGGTCTGCATTCCTCTGTGCTGGTGGTGCAGTTGCACGGATTTTTGTGTGGATCCGCAGCGGCACCACCCGCACAGAACCTAGCCTTAAGAAACACTGCTCTAATCCATTACAATCTTATGGTGGCCATATGCGCTTTCATAAATGATTGGTTTCTTTTCCAATCGCTCTCTCTAAATAGGATGAATTGACAACCCAATCGATCAATATGCAACACACAGGAAAATGGATTTTAATCAATAGTTGGAAGATACAATTGTAAATTACTGGTTGCATCTTTTTCCACCATGCAATTGTATAATCTGATCAATCAAAATACTCATTGGACCGTGACATCAGGTAATAAGTGAATCCGTGACAAATTCTTCCTTCAAATGCACTCACCAGAAGCGCATATTAACCACTTGAGCCCCAGAGGATTTACCCCCCTTAATGATCAGGCCTTTTTTTGCTGTTTGGCGCTGCACTAATTCAAATGATAATTGCGCGGTCATGCAATGCTGTACCCAAACGAAATTTACGTCCTTTTTTTCACACAAATAGAGCTTTCTTTTGGTGGTATTTTATCACCTGTGTGCTTTTTATTTTTTGCGCTATAAAAACAAAAAAACCACGAAACTTTTGAAAAAAAAACAATATTTTCTAATTTCAGCTATAAAAAATATATCGTAAACTCAAAGTTAATCATAAATTTAAGCCAAAATGTATTCTGCTACATGTTTTTGGTAAATAAAATCCCAATAAGTGTATATTGATTGCTTTGTGTGAAAGTTATAGCGTCTACAAACTATGGTATAGATACTGTAATTTATGCCTTTTATTGCTATACAGCGCTACACTAATTCAAATGATAATTGCGCGGTCATGCAATGCTGTACCCAATCGAAATTTACGTCCTTTTTTTCACACAAATAGAGATTTCTTTTGGTGGTATTTGATCACCTGTGCAATTTTTATTTTTTGCGCTATAAACAAAAAAACCACAAAACTTGAAAAAAAACAATATTTTCTACTTTCAGCTATAAAAAATATATCGTAAACTCAAAGTTAATCATAAATTTAAGCCAAAATGTATTCTGCTACATGTTTTTGGTAAATAAAATCCCAATAAGTGTATATTGATTGCTTTGTGTGAAAGTTATAGCGTCTACAAACTATGGTATAGATACTGTAATTTATGCCTTTTATTGCTAT